GATAAAACCGCCCAAAAAAAACTGTTTTATAGCGCCGAAAGCTAACGCGCACACGTCTAAACAAGCTTAACCCGCCTTATGGAATGGCCGAACCATCGAGAGCGGTAAATCACGGTAGAGTAATGGTTGTAGGGTTAGATGGAACAGGTGGTCATGTAGTGGTTGCTACTGGATTATGGTTAGTTTCTCGAGGAGAGTTTGGTCTCCTGTCTCTCCCTCTCTCTCTCCTTCCCTCCCTCTCTCTCCTTCCTTCTCTCTTATGATTAACATATTCCTGGAGGAGGAATTCCTTTTCAACTTTGAAGAAGATTTAAATTAATTTTGTTTTGCAAAAAGTTATATGAACAGTGTATAGAGCAGCACATTGTTTATACATTGTGTATGGTTAATGTGACACATATTTCAATATGTTTTTAAAAAGTTGAAAAAAAAGAGGAAATTCCGTTGATGTATGTTTTGTCTTTTTTATCAATTTCGGTGTGATTCCATCATGGTAACAAAGAAAAAAGAAATGATAAAACGAAATAAATTGGATGAAACGACAAATTTGGGACGTGAAGATGAAAGTGTAAGTTCATATGTAATTATGGTATTATAAAAACTAGTTTTGCTGTGATTCTCTCAAAAGAACTTACAGTTTTCTTATTCCGGCTTGTATTCTTGGACTTAATTTAAAATCCAGAAAATGTTTACTATTATTTTCAGGATGAACGTGATTCAATAGAGAAAGCTGCTTCGAATAAGTGCGAAGAAGTGACCAAATCTTCTTTGGAAAAACATAAACGGAAAAAATCTAAGTAGATTGTTGCGTTGATTTCTTCATTCTTATGGCTTTGCCTAGAGATCATATTCATACTGGTTGACTAGGTTTAATAAGGTAATCGTAGTGGGTGGTGTAATTCATCAATATCTCAGTTATTATTATTCTGTTAACATCCTTTCGATATATTTCAGAAAATACGTTGCTCAGCCATCAGCATGTTTTGAAAATGTAGAGTTGGCAACAGATGTAGAATCAGTAATGACTTTCAAAGATTTTGGTCTGGATGAACAATTGTTAAAAGTAAGTTTTGTTCAAGTTTCAAAATTATACTCTTTAAAAAGTTTTTTAGATAGTGGAAATTGAATAGAAATAGATAAATTGAATGAGAGAAGAAGGGAATGAAAAGAATTTTCATTAGAATTACAGGACAAGTGATTAATTCTTTCAGTTACTTTTTATATTTTCGTTAATAACGGTATTTCTCGGTTTCTTATTATTGTAATTACTAAATTCATTCAGGTTATTGGTGAGTTTGGATGGGAGCGTCCGACATTGATTCAGAGCCGAATGATACCAACTGCTTTTGAAAATAAGAATATTCTTGCACGAGCACGAACGGGTAGTGGCAAAACAGCCGCATTTATGCTTCCTCTTGTACAAAAAGTTTTGCAACTGAAATGTGTTAGTTTTTCGTCTTTTTCACTGATATAATATTCATTGAATGTCTTAAAACGTCCTTAAAATTATGATATAGGATTTCTTCAAGTCGAAACAGCGCTAATTACCAATTTTTTTGTTCTTAGTTTAATGCTTATTGTTTACGGCACAAAATAAGACTCAATTGAGCTTAACTGCAGTATTTTCAAACAGTTTTCGTTCCAGAATTCTTCAAGTAACGGAGATGCTGGTCCATTTGCGGTTTTCATTGTCCCTTCTAAAGAGCTGGCAAAACAGGTAAATATTATATGTTCAGCTTTAGATACTAGTTTCAATTCCGTTTTAGTTCAGTTTTATTTTCGTTCAAGAAAATAGCTTTAATTGCTATTTAATTATGCTTATTTCAGACTTATTCATTGCTATGCAAATTAACAGAGAAATTCCCGTTCTTAATGTCGTTGAATTTCGCGGAATTGAATGTAAATACTGATGATGACTGGCTTTTGGTTAGTTAATTTTTTCGATGATGTGCGGTGAAAATCTTTCTTATCACATAGAAGGTATTATTTATGCTAATTTTTTCAGAAGAAACCCGATTTTGTTGTTTCTACACCTGGTCGATTACTGCACGCTATGAAAAAGTATGGAAAACCATGCGAATCAGTTAAACACGTTGTACTAGACGAAGCTGATTTGCTGTTGTCGTTTGGATATGCTGAGGAAATGAGGTATCCTCCATTATTGTTAAATGCTGACCTTGCTTAATTTTTAGGTCTTTTTTTTCTGCGGAATCTTACTATTACTATTTTTTTTCAGGCTGATAAAAAATTTTTTCCCAGCACACCACCAGACAATATTCACTTCAGCAACAATGACTGAAAACGTCGAAGCACTTAAGGAGCTCTACGTGACCGGTCCAATTGTTCTAATGAAATTGAAGGTGAATTTGGATTTGTCATCTTTGTGCTCAATCTCAAAGCTTCTTGAGTTTATATATTTATAAATTAATTTTTTTGCAACATAACGTTTAGGAAGGACAGCTACCGAGTAGCGACCAGCTTTCACAGTATCATATTTCTTGTCAAAACGAAGAGGAACGGTTTGCAATCTTTTTGGCACTGTTGAAGTTGAAATTAATTGTTGGTAAATCAATCATCTTTGTCAGAGATACGGATCGTTGTTATCAGTGAGTTCATTGTTTTGATTGATGTTAGTAGAGTAATTTTTTTTTTAATTGTTTTAGTAAGAGTAAGTGGATTCAAAAAAAAAAAAATGCATTCAGATGTGATAGTTAACATCTTGTTTAATCTCTTTAGTAAAAGTGGATAAAATGGAGTAAGAGTAAGTGGATTCAAAAAAAATATGCATTTAGATGTGATAGGTAACATCTTGTTTAGTCTCTTTAACAACAGCATTATAATTCTTAGCCTGACAGAACTCTGTTGCCGATACCGGCTAAGGATAATTAGCCCAATCACTGTATTTGATTAGAATTCATATTTGTCTTTACTTTCATCTTGTTTTAACCGTGTTTTTCTTAGACTTGGACTTTTTTTACAAGCATTCAATATTCGGTCATGCATTTTGAATGCCCAAATGCCAATGAATAGTCGTTGTCATGTAGTGGAACAGTTTAATGAAGGACGGTATTCGTACGTTATCGCCTCTGATATAAATGATGTATCAGGCGAATCGCAAGCAGTGATGAAAGATGAAGATGATGAAGATGTATGGTTTCTCTGTTTTACTATTCAAAATAGACAATTTTATTTGGTTCCTCATGTGTATGCGATCACTTTAGTCATAATTTTATTTTCAGATATCTAAAAAGAAAAAAATGCAGAAAAAGAAACGGAAGCATATCGACAAAGAATCAGGAATTTCGCGAGGCATTGATTTTCATCACGTTGCAAATGTCATCAATTTCGATTTTCCTACATCGCTTAACTCTTACATACATCGTGTTGGCAGGTATTAATCAGAAAATAAAAATGCTATTCCTAACTGGAAGTTCTGATTTTAAGAACTTTTGCTTATTATGATGTTATTCATTGTTTAGTATGTTAATTTGTGATATTTGAGAACTGCTAGAGGATGGAACAAAGGCAACGCTTTATCATTTGCTTCACCTCAAGAAAAGCCGGTTTTGGATGAAGTTCAAGAAGAAATTAATGCGCAGTTAGGGCATCGTGCAATCACTCCATATGAAGTTCGCATTAAAGAACTGGAATCATTCGTTTTAAGAACCCGAGTACGTTACCTAAAGCTGAAGTTTTGTTTGCTTATTTTATGAAGATTTCTAAAAGTGAGAAATTTTATAGATTACCATTCATATTTCTGTAGCAACTGAAATATAGAATGTAAAAGATCGCTACATATATTAAAGTGTAGAAATCCAATTTTCTAGTGAGTAAGAAAAAAAATCCTTACAGGAAGTACTCGCAGCTTGTACCAAGACTGCAATCAGAGAAGCTAGACTAGCGGAAATACGGGCAGAAATATTGCGCTCGAAACGACTGGAAGCTTATTTTGCTAAGAACCCTCGTGAAAGGGCGGCTTTGGAACACGATAAGAAATTATTTTCTGTGAATCTTCATAGTCCTGCTATTGGCGATGTTCCGGATTATATGGGTTTTTACCATTTTCTTGTTAATTGTGAAACCGTAGTTTAAGTTTTAAATTAATTTGTTCGATATCCAAACTTTACGACCAAATTTGCGTAGCTTAAAAAATATTTAAAGAATATCTTTTTTATAGTTCCACCGTCGTTACGAGGATTAAATTATCGAAGTGAACCAGTGAAAAAGGAAGGAAGACGAAAGCGCAAAAAGCAAATGCGCCCAACGCCACATCAAATGAAATACCAAAAGAAAATAGAAGACCCACTGCAGAGTTTTTCATTTCTCTGATCTAAATTTTTATATTTTTCCAAAGTTTTTGTTGAATGATTATCAGAATATCTTGCCTTTCAGTTCGAGTCACAAATCTATAATCAGAGCTGATAAACAAATAACTGATTGATAGCTTTACAGTGTATTTCGATCAGTTTCCCGGTAGACTTTAAATTTAGCTATTCACACATTAAATTTGTGTTCGATTTCATGCTATGATTATTTTTCTGTCATGCTCATTTTTAAGTGAATTGTTTTTTCTTAGGTGTTTGTAAATGTTTCAAGTGACTTGTTTTTTCTACTAATAAAAGAATACTATCAGTTTCATGTTAGTTTACTTCATGTTTTTTACTAAAGCTCACTTATCTGATTGTCCATCTATAACAAAAGCTGTCGCAAGGAGGATATTAAGTAGAAATGGGCAGAAAAGTATGTGAAAAATAAAATTGTGATGAAAAATCTGTCTGGCTAACTGCATGGATTATGGCATTATGGCATAAGTAGAGCATGTTTTCTTTAGGATGAAACGAGTATTTATGCTTTGAAGAGGACACAGAAGTTAGGTGGAGGCTTGTAGATATATGCTGATGCATTTTTGCATTGTTTGAAAATTTCTTTGTTGTAGTGAAAAAGTACTAAACTTCGATTATTTTGTTGTGGTCAACAGAGAAAGGCAAAAGAAGAGGTGGATGAATCGCGTGATGTCCAAAGATACAGCAAAGAATCGATATGAGAAAATCAAACATCTTGGCGAAGGGCAGGTAAATTAATTAGCAGTAATTTAGTATTTTTTATGGCTGTTGTTGATTTTATTGAAGTATTGGTAGAAATGTTTGTTGAAATGAATGGATGAAAACGTTTCATCTCTTGGGATTACTTTGTGAACTGTTTTTCAACAAACAGTTTGCAAAAGTTTGCATCTGAGTTTCGATATATGTCACACTTTGTTAAAATTGTACTAATTTCTTTTTTCGGTAGGAAATATCAGAATGCTACTTACAATTGCAACATTAGTTCAATTGTTTCAGTTCGCTAACGTTTATAAAGCCAAGGATACGGAAACAAATGAATTTGTTGCAATAAAAAAGGTTTTGTTGAATTTTTCGAATTATACTGTGAATCTAGATGTATTAAAAATTGCAAACATTGATCTTAGGACTGAAATATTAAAATATAAACATTTAGGTACAGTTTAAGGTTATCTCTGTCTAGGAACTCCGTCTTTTTTTTTGTCAGCAAGTTATTACTTTTATTTTTTATACTTCTATTAAAAGTCAGAGTAATAAATCATTAGTATTGATCATCTATGCGATCTTAGATAAAGCTTGGCTCAAGACACGAAGCAATGGATGGTGTAAACCGAACTGCGTTAAGAGAAATCAAATTACTACAAGAACTGCATCACGAAAATATTATTGGAGTAACATTTTACTTTTGAATTTCTGAATCACTGACACTTCATAATATCCTCATACAGTTTTGTACAGTTTAAGAGTAAATGAGAATAAGAATCAGACTTTTATCTGATTTTTTTTAAGATATGAAGAAGGTGATTATGATTTATCATTAAGACAAAGCATCAGAATAGATTTTGGATTATTATGAATGCAAAATGTGTAGGTAGGCACTGTAATATTACAAAATAGATTTATTCCTCAAAACCATTTTGCTTATTTGACTTCAGTCTCTACATATTTACTACAATATTTATGGTTCTTAGCATTTCCTGTATGCGTAGAAAATTTGCTTAAGCTCGATCCGTTTAATGATTATAAGTTAACGTTTTTCTCGTAATGTTTTATTTACTAGAAAGCTGAACAGTTTTTCATTTAGAATTAGTCGCCAAAATTGATATTGATTTGAAGTATTGAGGCTGAAAGAAAGAAAAAGATGCATGTAATTCATATCTGACTTGCCAACAATATATCTCAATCTTCTAATAAAAACACTGAGAAATTTTAATCCTGGCTTATCATATAGGAAATAAAATGTTCTTAATCATCCATATTACAGCTTTTAGATGTAATCGGGCATAAAACAAACATTCAGCTTGTGTTTGATTTCATGGAGACAGATCTGGAACATCTGGTGAAAGATAAAGCAGTAATTCTGATGCCTGAACATATCAAAAATATGGTGCTTCAAATGTTGCTAGGACTGGAATATCTCCATTTGCACTGGGTTTTGCATCGGGTATATATACTTCAGTGAATCCATACCATAAGCTTTCCATAGATTTTTTTTTCGTCATAGATTCCTTGAATTTTGATTTTTTTGATTTCAAGTTAGTACGTAATTTCAGGATTTAAAACCAAATAATTTACTAATTAACTCACAAGGGCGAATAAAAATAGCCGATTTTGGTCTAGCGCGATTTTTCGGTTCACCAAATCGTCATTATACATATCAAGTAACGATTTTACTTATTATTCGAAATCTGCCACTGGTTGTATAAATGTTTGCTTATGTTACCAACTTTTAAAGTTCATTTACTATGTGCCAAGAAGGTTCCAACTATATTAAATGCATCTAATTAGTTGTAAGCAAATTAGTTCAAACACGCTGTATGATGAATTTGTTCTATTCAAAAAATTTTTTCAGGTAGTGACCAGGTGGTATCGTGCACCCGAATTGCTTTATGCAGCACGTTCATATGGTGTAGGTATCGATATGTGGTCCGTTGGATGTATTATTGCTGAACTTCTACTACGAGTCATACTTTTATTTTTTTTTATCAATTTTAAAATTCTCTCTTCATTTAGCGAAAACGCTCTTATCTTGTAGTTAGCGAATAATTATTTGAAAACATGTAAACATTTTTTTTTTCTTTGGTTTCAATTTTTTTTTGACAAATCTAATTAAATACTCGTTTGTTTCTCTCAGGTGCCAATATTTCCTGGCGAATCAGACATCGATCAACTTGTAAAGATTTATAGCATTTTAGGAACACCAACGGCGGAAGATTGGTCGGTGAGTGGTATGAAAAAGATTGAAATTCAAGAATTGTCCTTTTTTTTTATTTCTTATTCTTTTCCATTTTTAGGGAATGGAAGAATTTCCCGATTTTATAACTATAAAATCAATGCCAGGCATTCCACTTAAAAATGTATTCACTGCTGCTGGTGATGATCTCATCGAATTAATTTATCAGTGCTTAAGGTATGCTTAAGGATTTTGCTAATCTTTTTGCCATTTTCAGAAACTTTTCCTATATTTTCCTTTTTCTTATTTTATTTGAGCCTATCAAATATTTGTTTCTCTGCCTTTTTAAAGGAGATCTATTAACAAAAAAATAGGCCATAAAATTTTCCAGATTTGATCCAAACAAAAGGTGGAATGCAACTCAAGCACTTTGTTCTCGTTATTTCCAATCGGTACGACAACTTTTATACTTTTGATATTAGGTTGCATTTTTTACTTCAGCTGTAAAGTAACTAACTTATAGAATATTTCTTAAATCTGCTTTCGTAATTATATTAATACTTGTAGTTGCTAAATGAAGACATGACCAATAAATATAATTTTAAAGTAATCAATAAATCATGAAATATCGATGTATCATTTTAAACGACTTAATTGGTTATTTTAAAATTAGTTTCGTTTATTTATTTCGGTATCGGTTAGCTAATGAGAAGTTAAGATTATTTATTGGTCAATATTCTAGAGAATAAATCAATATTCTAGATGCCATATGCGTGCGATGATTGTGACTTGCCATTGCCAACCACGAGTCGATCAGCAGTTTTTAGACGGAGACGCCGAGAATATGCAAATGATGATGATGGTACTCCTACCAAATTTCGTAGACGGCTTGAATTTGATTAATATATTTAAAGAACTTGAAAGCTATTTTTTCATTATTTATTCAAAGTTGGTTTTAAAATTTATTGTGCCTAATAGTAGGATGGTCTTACATAATTGCTCAAATTTAAATAATGGAATTTGTGGAATTTCATTCCTATACAAAGGTCGTAACTTTTTTTTCAAACTAATTCCAATCGTGGCCTTAATGAAGAAAAACCAGTACAAAATTTTAATAAAGTTTTTAATTCATAATTAGATATTAAATTGCTTATGAATGATTTTTCAAAGATATTTTTAGTAAAACTGTGGCATTTAATTTATTTATTTTGATAGTGATTTTTGAATGAAAGTGCAGAATTAGCAGTGTACATCTGTGGCTACGTCAACCTTGTGTGTAATGTTCGTTGTAAGCAACTGTTTACTTTTTGGAAATAAGCAGCGTAGATTTCTCTCCCTCTCCCTCTCTCTCCTCCATTCTACTTCTATTCACAATCGTCTCTAACTACTGTTTCTATTACTACTGTTTCAAGTGCTGATTTACTTCTCTGAATGCTACTGGATGAGGATTATCTTTGTGATGTTATGTCTTCTTACTTCAATATTTATGCAGTTTAAAAAGTTTGTCTTCCTACTGCTATAGCTTAAAAGTTGTTGTGAAGAAAATTGACTTTTAGATGAACTATCATAATGGTACATTTATTTCTTACCAACGATATTTTATGCTCTCTTTCTTTGTGCAACTTCACAACATTAGTATATTTATTCTTATATCATTCTTGAGCTTTTTAGTAAATTTCGAAGACCTATGGAAGCTCTTCATAGCTTTTCATTTGTTGATCGTACGAGTTCTACAACTTTCTCACTTAATTTTATAGTCCAAAAACTTTACTTTTCCGGTGTTGCAGCAACTTTTTTTTCTTTTTGTGATTACACATAATTTGACTCATTGCTATACGCGTATAACGTTCGAAATAGTTCTATGGGTTTCATGATATACCTCTTTATCTCTGTCCCATTAGATTATCATTATTTGCTTATTTAAATTTCGTTTAGTATGATCGCTTTGTATTTTCACTGTGAAAAAGTCTGTGTATTTTTTGGAATAAATTTTGTGAGTGATATCCTTTTTAATTGAAATTATCATTTGTTACATTAAAATCTTTCCCATCTCCTGACCTTTTGTTTTAAAGTGGCATTGTTCGGTAACTGAGTAAAATTTGTATAAAGAAATATTTACTTATACTATAGACTTGTTAGCTGATAAAAAGAACAATATTTAATCCAAAAAGTGTTCAAAATATCACTTATCATTTAGTGGGAAGATATAGGTCAAACGGAATATTAAAAAAAAAAGAAAACTGATTACATATATGAATTGGAAATTTTTGGTTTTGAAATTTAATACTAGGGATTTCAAGTATTGATTGTACTTGCAAAAAAAAAAAAAAAAGATTGTGTGAACAATTAATTGACTATTTGCATCAATGGTACAAAAAAAAGATGCGAACATTTCGAGAATATGAATTTAAGTATCATTTTAAAGGATCTATCAGGAAGACTGTGGTACGAGAATATTCTGAGCAGTTAGAAACGTGATGAATTTGTTACCTAGTCCAACATATCATTATATTTCACCGTTGGCCAGATCAAGATCTGAAGCACGTGGAGCTAGATCAGTACGACGATCATATTCATTCTCTCATGGATCAGGCGCATCATCTTTTGGAAGTGGCGCACTTACCATGCCACAATACGGTTACGGTGGCGGATACATGTCTAAATCATTGTCACGAAGTTGTACGTATCAAAATTTAACATTTCGCTAACATATTTAATTTTAATTTGCAAAAAATATTGTTAAAAATGTTTGCTTTTCTTTGTAAATTACAAAGTGAAAATAACTAAATGTTAAACTTACTTATCCAAGAGAATATCCATTTAACTTGCTAATATTATAAATGATTTGTTGTTGTTTTTCAGCTTCTTCATTATTTGGGCGCTCATTGTATAGCTCAGTGTTAACACGGACACCACCGCTTCATAGTGTGGGTTTACAGCGTAGTACACCTCACTATACTGATAAATATCCTTATGTAAGATATTCATATGGAAGTACTGATACTGGTCTTGGCATTCTTACACAGACTGAATCGGTAAGTTATACTTATGATTGAATTTTAAAACTTTATTTTTACTTCTTATACTAGAGAATGAATAAAATAAAAAAAAAAAACAAAGGAATGAATTGGTTTTCTTTTTTTTTTTTTCAAATGACAAAGGAGAAAGAAATGAAAAATATTATCTATTAGTTAATTATTTAATTATTTACTATGAAATTATTTAGTTATTTACTATGAAAATTATTTACTTTCGTTACTAATTACAGATAGCAACTAGGGATTATAGTATGCGTGATCTAAGAACGAAACGATGGTTGGAAGGACGATCAAATGCTTATAATGTGGGACTTTCAACAGTGCCTAAATACACTTCACAAATTGAGCGTCCAATTACTCCTGTACGAAATTATGTACGGTAAGTTAGACTATATAAAAATTGAACAAGATATTAATATTTGAAGCAATAGTTCAACTAATTATAGCCAACATTTAAGAGTTATTGAAGTGGTAACTAATCAAATTATAGCCAAGGATTTTTTTTTTTTTTCACACAACTTTGAAGTGAAAAGTAATAGTGCTCTGAAGAACTGAAAATTTTAGCAAAGCAACTTTTTTTTTCTTTTTTGAATTCAAATCAGTCGCAAAAAGTCCTGAAGAATTTAGTTAGCATTTTGATAGAACATCTTTTCAATTCAATTAGTGAAAGAAAATTTCTGATGAAAGTTTTAAATGCAATAATTAGAATAACTAGTTCACTTCTAGTTCTTGGTTTAACTTTACAGTAATTTATTTATAACACGATGTCACTTTTTCTTTCTTCAGTTTAATTAAATTCAGATATATGCCTATAGAAGATGCGCTAAATATGTACAAAAAACGATGTATGACCGTTGGCACGTTATCCAAGTAAAGTTTTTTTCTTTTTTTCCCCACTTAAACTTAGTCTAAAATAATAAAAAAACTGCAAAAAAAGACCCTAATAACCCATTATTCTTTTCGAATACTCTAATGATTCAGTAAGGGCATTGTTGATGACTTGAGAAGAGATTAAAACCAAAATAAATAAGGCGCGGAAGTTTTCAGATAAGCAACTGTTGCAGGTACTGGTTGTCACCAACGTGGCAGTCACGTAAAGAAAAAGAATTGAACCTCAGTTCGGCATCTGCTAGAGGTGACTATTTGTACGCTTCACGATATTCCTCCAATCATCCTACTTACTCTCGTGTTGCCAACCGTCTTTATACGAATTACTAAAATCTTGACGAAAATTTATATTTTGGGATGAATTAAGAACTGTGCAATTTACAACATCCTATTATAATGGAATTTTGATTTCATTAAAAACGAATCCCCAAGAATTCTTTAACAATTCATAGTATCTGAACAGCTTTGTATTCACAAACTTTACATTTCATTACCAAATCGTATAATTTTATTGTCCCTCACAAAATCCTAGTAGTGTTAATATGTTTCTTCAAAATGCTTTTTCTTGAATCCTTAGCACAAGAAGATTGACAGATAGTATTTAAAGAATTTTAGATATGCCTGGTCGGGAAGGTATTTGTAAGGACATAAACTCTCTCAAAAGTGATCTTAATCTTTTAAGAACACATAACAAAATACAACATGATCAAGATATTTGAAATCCTCCAGACGATCTTTCAATTACAACATCGATGAGAAAACATATCATGCCAGTCATGAGGGAATACCTGGCATTCTAATTTTGCAGTTCTGTAAATAATGTCTCCCTTCATAGTAGGACCGCAACACCCTACACATAAAAAAGCGCACAATATTCGATGCATGAACCTAATGAAATACGATTTTTATAAGCACGGTGTAAAAAACAGAGGAACAAAACAATACATGAAGTCGCAAACAATTTACAAATGGATAACCAGTTCCTAGAACTGAAACATCGTATCTTGTGCAATAAAATGGAGCAGTGTTGGAATTAGTAAAACTAGTTTTGTAGGAATTTTTCTAAATCGAGATAGGCTCCATTGAGAACTCTTCGGATGGAATTCAGACTTCACATTTTTAAGCGAATTCTTCAAAATTAATTTGTCAGTCCCAATGCTGAAACAAAAATTCTAACATGAAAATACTTAAAATAAAGCTCTTCGTATAAACAATATGTGTCCTAGTATCCAGAATATACATGAAGGAAGAGCTCCTACCGATGAGCAGTAAAACAATTACTTTTACTATTATGTCATTATAACCGGTAGTTCGTGGTACATTAGAATTGAGCAAAATATCGTAGTGAAAACCAACTTCAACTAAAATGTTAAAATAAAACAAAACGAACCCATTCGCGTCTCGTCAGCAAAATATCTGACGTCGAATTCGCTATCATTACACATTTTAATCAGTAATGGTTTGATCTGACTGTTAACTATTCTAAAAGACAAAAATAACTTAGTAAATATAAATGAAGACTATTAATTTCTAATGTGGAAAGCACAGAGCTCGATTCAATTTAACAGACATTTTCATTGACGATAGTTTAATTGTAAATTTACTTACGGTTACAAAAAAAAAAAAAAAAAAAAAACATACCCCTGATCAACCGTATGACCAATACGGAGAAGAGTTTTAGCAACATTGAATCTGACATTCGGCACATGGTCATCACTTAGCTAAAAGAATGCACATGACTAGAATTCTAACTCAAAAAACGATGTACACAATGTTATTATAGTAAGTGTTACTTCATAAATGTGAAATGTACAAATTCCCGTGAAAACCTATTTCAATAAAAAAAGGAAAGAAGAATACAAGCTAAAACCTGTTGTACTACAGGGAAGATTTCTTTAAGAGTATGCTCTGCACCCAGAGCTTCACAAAGAGTATTGAAGCAAAATAAGCATGCCATACGATGCAAATAGTTTGTATCGGTCGCAAGTGCTGTTACCTAGAATGATAAAAGTTGCAGATTAAGCGTATTCATGTACCATCGATGAATGGGAAATTACTCAAAACTTCATATAAAGTTTCAGAAGCATAAAATTTTGAAGAATTTCTAAAGCCTAGTCCGACCTATTATTCAGCTCCTCCCCTAAGATAGAATTAAAACATGCTCCTTTCGTAAAATATAATAAGAAGGTTCATACTGACAATAAAGAACAAAGCGAGTGGATAACCCAGTTTTTGTTAAGGAAAACATCTATAGTACCTTTGGAACCACCTGTTTCATCGCCCAATCAGCACCAAACTTTTCCGTTAGTTGTTTCAGAATTCCAGTCGCTGCTTCGCGTATGGCATAAACTAAAACAAAGAAGAAAAATGTCGACACAAAACAAAGCAAATAAATGAAAAATTTTTCAATTTATGATTTAAGTTTTACCATGATCGGTTAGCCATGCCATACAAAGCGGAAGCAATTTCTCATCGAAAAATTCTTGTCCCTGAAACATGAAATAAAATAAAAAGATTAGACAATCAGAGCACGGATCAGCATTTCCTTTGCTTAATAGAGTAAAGAATGCATGGATTCGAATGTTTTAATCTAACGAATTCCTTGTAAACAGAAATTTATTTGATATGAAATCTGATACAAAAATAAAATTGACGAAACTCAAATTAAAAAACCTACCAATTGAGCAGCAAGCAAAGGCATGAAATCAACAATTGCTAGACGTACACGCCATTTGCCATCTTCAGCTAATTCTACAATTGACGGTAACAACGACTGTGACAATTGCGATGCACCGATTACTTCATTCACCTGCAAAGAAAAACCATATAATATTATACGAATAACTGAATACTACCAACCAATAACTTAGTGTTTCTATTCCATTCTGCTTCAGATTTTGTTAAACTGTACCGAGGATTTCTTAAATCACTAGTTAAGAACTATTCATCAATCAAAAACGAACCTTGTCCAGTGAAGAAATTATGTTTAATCGAACTTCGGCAGTTTCATCACGCAAAAGGGTCAAATAAATTGGTAGAAGGTGCTCCATCGTGAGATCTTTTCCAAGTATTGGAGCTAAACCCATGACCACAGATGCAAGTGCTGTTTTTACATGCTGATTTGGATCGCTAACAAGCTCTTTAACAACAGGTAAGACATGAGTCAAAATTGCTTTTTCTCGACCAATTGCAGGAAGTGCAGCACAAAATGCTGAAAAATATGATAATATATAACAACAGTTTCAAAGATGCTATCTTTTTGAGAATGAAAAAAACCAAACCTTGTATTTTTGCAGCAGCTGCACTACGTACTTCGCCTTCCATATCCTTCAGAAGACTGCTGAATGCCGGGAGAAGCTCGTTTATTGTTATGTCTTTGCCAACAGCAGATTGTATCTTGAAATTCAATAGTTAATTCGTCTTCAGAGATTTCATTTTTTTTTATTATTATTACATATTTTTATTAGTTTTAAAATGTTGATTTGGACAGATAACAAACTCTTTCACAACAAGTAAAATATAAGTCAAGATTGCTTTTTCCCAATCAATTGCAGAAGTGAGCACGAAACTAGGTTCAATTTTGATGTTGCCTTTTCATTTATTTTAGACCTCAAATACTAGTCAGACTCCTACATATTTAACTCGACAGTTCCATACAGGCTTTCTGACACGACTGTGTTAAAAATACGATTCTACATTTACTTCTTACATAAATTTCAAGATTCTAAATGTTGAATTACTCCATTAAATCCATATATCAACAAAAATGTCGGAATCATGTAAGGCTTACGTCAGTGAATTTCTCAGCCACCATATAACGCACACGCCAGCTTTTGTCCTCAATTAGATTGATCAGAACTGGTTTAATGAGCTCTTTCCGTTGTTCTTCCGTCAACAAAGCAGCGATAGAAATGCATGCTTCAACTGCTAACAATCGCACAGAATCCTACAAAAAATGTTTGCATGGTTTGCTCCAGTTATGCTCATGAAAAATCACCATTTAAATTTTCACCTGCTCATCTGAAGCCAAATCCATAAACATCTGGAGGAGTTCGTCGCGAAGAAAATCGGCTTCGAAAACTTTGGCAAACTCGCCTAATTTTGAAGCTGCGGCACGTCGCACCATCGGTGTGTCATCACGACATAATGTACGAAATAAACTAAATCAGGAATATTGGTTAAATTTTATAATTTCTTGAAGTACAAGGACAAAGTTTTTCAGACGTTTCTTATGTATAAAACATACTTCCGAAGCTCCGACTTTATAGCAGGACTCACTCTGGGATAAGCGACACTGAAAAGTCCACATGCCGAGGTTCGCGATGTGAACCAATCACCTGCAATAAATTCGAGAATACGCTAACACATACATACGCAAAGACAGTCAAATTCTTAAATCCACCTTAATACAAATGACACTTTTATTTTTATAATTTCATGTGAATTATGCAAAAATTTTTACCACAGCTACACAATACTTTTGTTGAAACACTACTTATGCCGCAGATTAACTGCTACCATGCAGTCTATATCTTACAAATTATATCATACATCTTGACATATTACCACCATTTCAAAGGCCTAAAGTTTAACTGTCCATCCACACATATACTTATGAAAAATACAAAAAATTGTTCATGTTTTGAATATAAAAGTCTTTAGAACGTAAGAAATTAAAAAATACTAAAAATAAATATAAACAATCTAACCTGTAGCTAAACGTCTGATCATTGGGATGAAGTGTTCTTCGAGAGCAGCACTTGAATGTTTATCTGCGATTTTGCGTAAACTTTCCACAGCTTTATCACGCACTACGGTTTCCTCAACAGTAGCTAAATTTTCAAGTGGTGGAAGCAAACAGTAGACATAATCTGGGCCACCAACTAATGGCGTGAAGTTGCCTAATTGTTCGGCCAAAGCAAGAAGTACTTCATCTTCGTCGTAGATAGTGTCTATAACAAATCCAGGAAAAAAGATATGAGAAACTGTATCTTCAAACTTTCAATTATTCTTCAATGAAAGAAAACATAATAACGAATCTAAAATACTTTTTTCCAGACAATTATTCAAATCAAACTTTTGCACCGAAATATTATCACTAATTTTAGCAGTAGCTAAATTCTTCTTATAGTTGTTGTCTACATACAGCGAACTATCAACACAAACCTGTTAAGAACTGAATTAATTCGCCACGTGTACGTTCAACGCCCAGTGCAAGCGCAATAGTTGATAATTTACGTATACTATTCAAACGTAGTTGTACATCTTCATTTCGAAGTTCGTCAATGAGTATAGCAATAGGATAAAGATTGTCATCGGTATCTTCGTGTGCTTGTAATGATGCCATATCCAAGTCCTTTAAGTTAATATACATCTAATAAGATGAAAGATAACCAATGAACTGATTCACATCAACAGAACAAATTTGATTAAAATGATTCATGTTGACCTGGATGACCTCGCCCCCTCTCTCCCTATTCAAATCTAACTGACCTTTTCACATCCCTCCCAATTGAATCAACCAATCCTTCACACCCCTAAACAATCGATAGCTCCTCACTTCATAACTACAAGGTGGTATTACACGGCTACGGCCCATTGCAGGTCATTTTTCTTCAATTAAAATTTTAACAAAAAAAGATGTTGGACCTACTCATTTGCTTGATCGAAGAAGGAAAGTGGCAGATATTCTTCAGTTGATTTCGATGACATCTTTTTTCTAATATTTACTTCTCCTTCACTTCTCTGAATAATTCATTTGTTCTTAATCATATATTAATCAGACAGTACTAAACAGTTATTTCTTTACATTCTTTTAGTGACAGTTTTTATTAAATGTTAACAATTGATAAATGTGAAATAGGCATACGTTTAAAAATACTATTTTGGGTATTTTTAGAAATACTAAAATGAGATATTTTTATATAAAATAAGGTCACTTAATAATTTGTACCAGTAATTTTGGAATTGTTACGTTTATGTGTACTCTCCTTGTGCGTTATTTTAGGCTTCTGTCCATTCTCTAATTATTTATAGATTACGAATACTTGAATAGTTAATGTTCATGTATCATTAAATCATTAAAATGCTAACTAAAATACGGAATATACTATAGCTTCTGGCAATAACCACTAGAAAATTGTCCATTATTCTAATAATAGCTATTAATTGTCCATAATAATTGTAATTAATGGATTCAGAAGCGTTCTCGAGATGGCTTCCATGGTAATTAGCTGCGTTACGAAGTTACCTGTGAGTAGAGTTGGTAATTTTTTTTTCATTTTTAATCTTTTGGTTTTGAACAAAATGTAACGTATGAAACATTTAGGAGCTATTAAAAGTTCGTTTTTGTCGTAATATTTTTACGAAAAAAATTAAAACTCAAGAGGTATGTACACTGTAGAGAATTTCTCACTCCCTGCATGGTTGTCTGATTACGTTTCTCGTGCACGTTTTGACAGATTAATGACGAAAGTCTTATTAGTCTTTCCTTCGTAATCATTTATATGTTTCACTTTATTAACTATTTTCAGGGGTTATTTCGATTAGTGTCCGTGGTAAAACAGCTACAGCTCAAGAAGAACTAAAGAAGCCACAGAAAACAACATTTGGTCCACTGAAAGATGAAGACCGTATTTTTACAAATCTTTATGGCAGATATGATTTCCGACTAAAATCAGCAATGAAACTTGTAATTTATTCAGTGTTTGAATGGAATAAGTTATTCGAAAACGAATTTCAAGTTTTAGAAATAATTCTGGACTGATCTTTAGGGTGATTGGTATAAGACGAAAGAAGTGTTACTAAAAGGTCAGGACTGGATTATCAAAGAAATGAGTGCGTCAGGTATGAGAGGTCGTGGTGGCGCTGGTTTTCCAACGGGTATAAAGTGGAGTTTCATGAAACGTCCATTCGATGGCAGGTTGGTTCCTTTAACCTTCGTAGTGAAATAATTAAGCTGTAAATGAGCTGTATAACTTCATTCTTGTAGCTGCATGCTATCTTTACTGTCGGATTATATTATTGTTGCAGCCGTCATAGATTTACAAACTATAGAAATCATGGATTTGAAATACAAATGGAAGCAGTGCTTAAGCGGTAAGGCGTTTTTAGGCCGAAATACTTATGCATAAATGCAGACGAAGGAGAACCAGGAACATGTAAAGATCGTGAAGTGATACGTCATCATCCACATAAATTGATCGAAGGTGCTCTGATTGCTGGTTATGCAATGGGCGCTCGTGCTGCTTATATTTATATAAGAGGAGAATTCTATAATGAAGCTTGTATATTACAAGAAGCTATACATGAAGCTTATAAAGTAAGACTTGCGAATTTTGTTGTGCATATTAAGTTTTATCGGTGTTAAAGTATAAAAATATAGTAACATGGATTCCCATTTGGGTTTGCTTCCAATTGTACGGCAGTATCATAAGCATATAGTGAATATATAGTGGATTTCACCATGATCAGTGAGGATGGATCAGTTAATAGCTGCATGTAAAAAATACGGTAAAATAAGATTTTTTTTTTCGTCTTTCCAGTTGTAGCTTTTGATTTTTTTAGGCTGGATTTATTGGCAAAAATAGTTGTGATACAGGCTATAGCTTCGACGTATTCGTTCATCGAGGTGCTGGAGCCTATATATGTGGTGAAGAAACAGTCAGTTTACTGAAAAAAAATTATCTCCGATTTTTCTTTTGAGTTTTTCAATCCTGCATTTATTGCTATGGAATTCTTGAAATTCTTTAAAAATTTGCAGGCTTTAATAGAGTCTATCGAAGGCAAACAGGGTAAACCGCGTCTGAAACCACCATTTCCAGCTGATATCGGCTTATTTGGATGTCCAACTACAGTAAATAATATTGAGACCATTGCTTCAGCACCTGCCATATGTAAACGTGGAGCTAAGTGGTATTCTTCATTTGGACGTGAACGCAATCATGGAACAAAGGTGATTCAGACCAGTCAACATTCGAGTGAATTAATCGTAAATTTAATTTGATATCGTAACTTGTGTTTTTTCAGCTTTATTGTATATCGGGACATGTCGTGAATCCATGCACTGTTGAAGAGGAAATGTCTATTCCACTCAAAGAATTAATCGAGCGACACTGTGGAGGTGTAATCGGTGGTTGGGATAATCTGATGGCTATAATACCGGGTGGTTCATCAGTTCCAATGATTCCTAAAGAGTCAGTATTATATATATATCAGTATCTTGTTTTCTACAAAGATTATGAATATTATGAAGTGCTCAGCAATTTATACTGTTTTAAGTATGAATTGCTATGTTAATAAGATTTTGTTTCCATAGAAATACTGTCTAGATTTTTTGTACAATGCATCCATGTGCATGTATAGACTATGGACTATATATTTGCTGTACTATTTCAAATTTTTTTCAAGTATTTGCGAAACAGTTCTTATGGATTACGACGCTTTGGTCGCTGTACAAACTGGTTTGGGTACCGCAGCGGTAATTGTTATGAATAAGGAAGTTGATATTGTGAAGTGTATTGCCAGACTTTCACATTTTTATCGACACGAAAGTTGTGGACAGGTATGATAAACATGGGCTCAGTTCTTCATCAACTATATTGGTTGATTTTTGAGAGGTGACATTATTTAAGATAAATAGGTAGAGGCAGTGTTAAAAAGTCGATTTGTTATAAGGAAGCAATAGGCAATTGTAGGAATGTATTTCCTTCTGTTTTTGAGTTGTAAACTCGAAATATTCTAGGGTAGATTTGAAATTTAAAAGCAAACGTAGATTTTCAGTGCACTCCGTGTCGGGAAGGAACCAAATGGTTGAACTCTGTGATGTGGCGATTTGTGAAAGGTCAAGCAAAATCTAGTGAAATCGATAGTTTATGGGAAATAAGTAAACAAATTGAAGCGCATACAATTTGCGCCCTTGGTGATGCAGCAGCATGGCCTGTACAGGTAAATTTATAGTCGTCAAATGATTGATTATATGATGCTTTTGAAATTCTTTTACTGCCTCCAATTTGAATCTCTTTGGCGATGAAGACAGGAAAAAAGAGGTAGTTAAAACATAACAAGGTTCAAGAACTACGACTGCAGTTACTGGAAGTCATGGGGATGCCAGTGGCAATCCATTTTTCTTAATAGATTGCAAAGTGAAGTAATTCAATAACAAAATTATCATGTCTTTCAGTCTTCATTTTTAGGGTTTAATTCGCCATTTCCGACCGGAAATAGAGCATCGCATATCTGAATATCAAGCTAAAAATGCGAACAAGGAGCTGCCACGCACTATTTGTGATTTCGCCTAAAGTTTAGGAATTTCTGATTTCCTAGTGCTTTTATTGTAGTATAAACAACTGTTTTCTGATGTGTCTAATGACAGTTACTATTTTGAGTTTATCCCTTTCTTTGCAATCAAAAAAACAGTTTGAAGTGGGAATTCTCTAAATGTATATATCTATTTCATGAATGCTGTACGAACATTTTGTTGAAATGTTTGTTTGAAATGAAATAAATTAGTTTAGTTTCTGTTTGTTGTGATCGATTTGGATTACCAGTGCAAATTTATCTTCATAATTTTATACACCGATACATGAATTAAATGGATGGATGGAAAGAACGATTTTATGATCATTTATTTTTTTTTCAGAGGATTGGTGTTTTATTATGTGACGTCTTTCCACTATGAAGCTAACTTTTATTTCAATAGATTGAGAAGTATTACTGATTTCATTTGCGAAAGTTCCACTTTGCATACATATTTTGGATTAACAACGAATGCTTCAGTATTATTCTCTTTTAACTTTAATGATTTTTTTTAAAGAGGTCTGTAAGATGGACTTGTGTAATGAACACTCAGGATTGGATACGCTTACGATGCTGTGTGAAAGATTACGATCTGAGAAATTACTTGTAGCTAGTGAATTGGACACTCTGCAACGGCTTAACGAAGAAGTTGATAATGCACAAAGTGAATTAGCACATTTAGCCTGGATATGCAGACAGGAACAGGTATGATTTCCTTGCATAAAAATATAATTTGATTTGAGTTGTTGCTCATTTTATATTTACGGCATGATACTTTCCTCAAAAAAAAAAAATTTCTTTTTGTATTTAACAATATGAAAAAAAAAAAAAAGCAAACAGCTGTGGAGTGTGAGAACCTTATCCGAAGATAAGTTTCAGACAATTTTATCGCGTCTTATCAATTCCCATCCTGATGTTCGACCGGAAAATTGCTGCTTTCTAACTTCCCAGTTTGATTCCGCTTGCTTTATTCATGGATATCGTCGTATTGATGGGCAGCATTACAGTAGTGTTACGGAATTGTTGAATTTATTACTAAATTCACCGAATTTAGTAGCTGAAATATTACATATTGCAGACCAAACGCTAAAGGTATCAGTTTGAATTCGTAGTACACAGAAAAATCACTGGCATGTTTAGTGTTGTAAGGGAACTGATTATTTTTACATTATGATTTACTCACTAAGTTCAAATATCACCACTAGTCGTGAGCAATCACAGTGTGTACGATCTCAATTTTTGAGACAGCTGACATTATCAAATATATGAGAGTGTGCTTAAAAACATTCATCGATATCGAAATTTATGTGAAAATAATTGAAAATCAAGTTTCAGAGCAACGACTCACCATTTGTTGAGCTAGTTTCATGTGTATACAGCTTGCTATATGGATGTTCAGTTTTTCCGGAAGATGAGCGTCGCGTATTGGAAACCCTTTTCCATCTGTTGGATATTCAGTTGGCTTCACATTCCGACCCACGATTGTTATTGCGTCGTGGAAATGTGTCTTTTTGTCAGCTTTATCGTTTATTTTCCGAAGGGATGTATTCTGCAAAGGTTTGAAGTCAATTGTTACTTCCGTGAAAGCAGAGATTATTTTTAATAAAATAAAACACAGAGCCCGCTGGCAGTTTATTCTTCATTATGTCTGATTTAGATTTTTCTGACAGCAGCTCTGCATGATCCAGTGATGTTCGTATTGTCTCAGGATGATGTTTTTTTGGATATCGAACCAACAAAAACATTAATACGGTTTCCCGCAGAAGAAAGAAGAAGACGGTATACACAGAAGTCATTCCATCTGATGTTTTGTCACTGATTTTATTAATACAAAGAATTTAATATTTCTACTGGAGCACAAATTTTTTTTTTTAGTTTTGGTGAGGACGAAAATTCACTTACCTTTTTGCAAAATTTAACTGCTCATCGCCGATATATTGAATCAAAATTAGTATCAGTTGCAAATCGATTTATCCGAGGTAATTCAGTGAGCTTATCTTGGCCTATTTTAATTGGTGTGTGATTTGGTTGTCGATTTGAATTTTCTTTTTTTCAGCAATAACTGATGCAATGTCTTGCTTTCCTCAAAGTTTGGGTTGTATTGTTCGACGACTATATACTGTTTTAGTTGATCACAGAAAACTTAGTCGTGAGCAGGTATTTATTCTTCTATTCAATGCAAATGACTTTCTAAATCCTATGAATCAGTTGCTGTACACATTTAACTTATTAATGTTCTTTTATTCATTTGAAGTTTCCATTACTAAAATATTGCAGGCAACGTTGATTTGCACGGATCTAATTTTCACTTATTTTATTTGTCCTGCCATCGCAAATCCTGAGACACTTGGAGTTATATCAGATACTCCGGTCACCTACATTGCAAGGTGAGAATATTTTAGGGATAATAAACATATGTATAATATTTATGTTTTGTTCTATTTTTTTAATCGGTTCAGTTCATTTTTTACTCTTTATTAGCTGTCTGTTGTATTTGAATTAATCTTTAAAAAGATTAAAATATACTTGTTGTTAAGCTTTTTTCTCTCATATTACAAAGATTGAAGAGAAACAAAGAATAAATGTCTTCTCAGTTGAGAGAATCATGTTATTGCTTATTTGTTAATAATCAAAACTTTAGGTTCAATTTGATGCAGATCGGGCAGATTTTGCAGACACTGGCTATAGCACCTTTTGAGCCTCCTTCTTCTCATATTGCACATTTCTATTCCCAATTTGATCAGGTAGCGACTATTATATATACATTATTTGTCAATTTGTTTTGTTTATTCATTTGTTTTTTTCCTACTATTTATTTATTTACTTTATTTTATTTTACTTATTTACTTTTTTATATCTATTTATTTAATTAATTTGTTTATTTGTTCCATTCACTATATATATATACGTATATTTTATTTATTTGTGCTTATACTTCGTGTCTAAAATTTTAAGAAATTGAAATTGTAGAACAAATTCGAGTAGAAAACAAGCGCTAATTTTAATTTAAATAATAAGATTGCTACTACTGCAGAGTTTCATCCAGTTTCAATCATATAGCTCTCATTTAGCAGTCGATGTCATGTGTGGTGCAACATGTTCTTGCAACGCATGGTGAATCACTAGAAAGTATATGTGCAGTCAGTACCGAATCACCGCCACAAGTTGTTGAACAGTTTGTCCGACGCATGTTTGTAGGCACTATTGCAGAGCTGGATTGTTTGGTAAGTAGGAGAGATATTTTTCTCATAAATTTTTGTTTTCAAATTAACTGCGATATCATTTTAAATTATGATATTGCAAGAGATCGGAAATGAAGTGTTTTTTTTTTTGTAATTTTTTTTTTCTTTTTTTTTCAGTTTTGTTTTAACAACTTGTGCCTTTCATTGTAGGATGTTTCAGGTATTAAGAAATGTTTTAAAATTTTTAATAAGAATGTTGTTGCAGATTAGTGCTGTTCGTTGTTTTGCAACTGGTCCTGTAAGTGATGAATCGATACGGCGAACATTAACTGGATTACTGCAGCGATTACCAATAAAACTTTCACGGGATGATATACCAAATTTTGGGGTTGTTGGTTTTCAAGAAGTAATTGAATAACTTCTTTCTTCCACCAGAACATATAAATATTCGGGCCAATAATCTTTTTTAAATGTTTTCTATGAAGTTTGGACGGTGATGTTGATTTCTCTTTTACGTGAATTTGTTTCGAATTAAATGGTTATCTTTATTTCAGAGAAGTCACTCAAACGAGCGAAATGCAGATCCTTTCTTCATTGACACTAGAACATTAGATTTAAGTAAGAACTTCATTTTGAAAAATGCTAATCTTAATGTCATAGACCAATGAAAGGACAGTGTTTTCAGTTCAAAGTGGTTATCATAGAGGTTTGCGATTTAAACATGGCAAGTCCACGGAGTCTACTGAATCTGGCCGTATTCAAATAGAAAATATTGAGGTGCAGATTACTTTTATCCTTAATGAGTAAAGAAAATTATGTCGTTAATTTGTAGAAATCTCGAAGTGTAAATCGACGAAATTTTATTTTTGGACTTATTTATAATCTTCATAATTCATAATTTTTTCAAAATTTTCATTTCAATTTGTGGTAATCGTTTCAGGTACTTGTATTTCCTCTTGGTGAAAGTAGGGAACCATTGGGAATGTGTTCCGAAGAAAAATTCATGGAATCAGTTCGGAATCCACAGCGAGTGCGAAAACATAAAACATCGGATGAATCAGCCGAGAAGCGAACTCGTTTTGTTGATACTGAAAGCATTGGTAGATAATTTTTTCTATCCTGATATAGTTTGTTTTTTTTTCCTAAAAATTAGATTGAATCGGAATTGTTATTGCTTTTAGATCGTACCACTGACGGTGGGAGCGATGATGAAGCAGCAAGTTTATCTTCTTCTATCGAAGGTAGATCAAATTTTATTGGTTGTATTTCACTTCGCCTATAAAATTTTCATGTTTCTTCCAATTTTGTTATATTCTTTTTTGCTTTTTTTTTTTATCCTAAATATTTGTTTTTTTATCCTGCTGTCTTTTGATTGTTATCTTCTGTCACATTTCTAGATATAATTGCTTCTTTAAGGTAACGCTGATGGTATGGATGATGATGCTGAAGATGTATCTACTCTACCGGACAATTTCAGTGATGTTGTTCCCAGTAGCGCAAATGTTTCGGGTCGTGGTTCACCAAGCGTCAGTGATCCAGCTTCTAATCGAGGTGGTTCACGTTCAGCTCGGTCAGCCGCACCGACAAATGGCGGTAAGTTAAAAGGTGGGATTAGCAGACTGTCACATGTCCTCCAGTCAATTGTTAATGCTATAAACAGGAAGACAGTCTTAAAAATAAGATATCATACTGAGAAAGTAAATTCTTTTTTCAGTATGATTAGTAAATGAAATAGAATACCGTTGAAACTGCTACGAGACAAAATGAGATATTCTATTTTAATACTTGAGGCTTTCACAAGTTGACTGAAAACTTCCCTGTTGCAGAAGATGCTAATAATGCAGTACAGGAAAATAATAACTCTCGTCAACATAATCTTCCGAATTTACCGGTAACCGTCCGTCGCGAAAATACTGAAGGCCTTGAAGATAAATTCGGGAAATTTTGTTTGCCGTCACAGGGAGAGAGTCGTCATAAATATCGTATGTTCAGAATTTAAAATTGTGGGTTTTTACTTCATATGCCTTTTCCATTGGTATGTTTATGAAAACATTGAAGCACACCATAATCGATGCGAAAAAAAAAAATACAAAATGTAGCTTTTTCTGGTTGACTCACTATTGGCCCAATTTTGAAAATTTTTCATTGTTTGTTATATCTAGAACTCGGTTTTTTGCTCTATGTAGCCGATCAGTTTCAGGTGATGAAACACATTCACTTGTCAGTGAAAGCTGGTCCACTGATGTTCTACCATCAGATACGGAAGGTTTCGGTTTTGATGTTAGACAAGATGGAGACAACAGTACATCTACGGTTGCTCCTCCTATGCTACCTGCAGTTGTAGAAGTTGGTGAGCCTCGAACCGAAAGTAGGCCAAGCAGTATGTCTTGATTTTATTTCATATTTGTAACTGTTATCGTGGTTTAATGTTATAAATATCTCGAACATATATACAACGATTCTGTGTTATTCTTTTAAAATATCGAGTTTCGCAGATTTTGCAGGATATTATATGATACCTTTACAGGAATGGGTTCACAACGATCTACAATTGGCAGTGCTATTGCATCTTTAACTGTATCAGGTAACGGGGAAGATCGAAGTGATACGTGGTCCGTAGATGCAGTGGCTAGTGATTCTGAAGCAGATCCTGTTCAAAGAAACGATGATTTATTAATGATTGATGATCCTGATAGTGCGGACGTTACATCTGGTTTACACTTTTTGATTTTCCTCACAAAATTTTGGGTTTTTTGATAAACGATTGAAATAAATGCACCTGTTATTCATACTTTTTGCCGATTTATTTATTATTTATATTTTTTGTAGCTACATTTAAATATTTCAGCTACTAATGGAAGTGCAAACGCAACAGTATTAGCTTCTGGCAACGAAAGCAACATGACAGAAAGTAGTGGCGCAACTGTTCATGCAACAGTTGGAGGGCATAATGAAAATGAAGTTTCTCGCGGAAACAATTTCTCATTTCACCATGCTGCAAAGTAGTATATTTTTTATACATATTATTGCATCCGCAGAAATTTTTCGAAACACCGAAAATTATGATTTGAAATTCTTCAGAGATGCAGTAAATAAGTTTTAAATAACAACTGCATCTGCTTTATTCCCATTTGTTCCAGAAAGCCGATGTCTACAACTTCAACTGATGCATCAATCTTTCGTGAATTGAATCAAGTGAATCTGGTAGCTTCAACGTCAAGTGGTCATGCTCGTGAACGTCTTAGACGTCAGTCTAGTGGAAGTTCTTTCTATTCAAAATCTGATGTTGATTCTGAATTTTCAAAGTTAGTTGCATTTTGGGGTAATATTTTTGCTGTGATCATCGTATGAACTGACATTATTCAGATTTATGACTGGTGATTGACTTAAGAATATAGGAAACTTCTAGAAGGATTCTGAAAAGCTGAATTAAACTGAATCAAGCTTTGCAGGGATCTTAATGATGATGCACTTTCATCATTGCCTGGCGATTACACTCCATCATTTCGCAACAGTGTAGGTGAACTTGTGCTGACCAGTCCAGCTGCTTCAGTAATGGCAACAGCAGGCTCCTTCTGTAATGATGACATAGAAGCTGGATCAAATGTTATTCCGGCTAATGATTTAATGAATTCGTTAAAAAATGATGTCACTCTGGCAAATACACAAAAAGCCGAAAAATGTAATGAATATGAGGAACATATAAGGGTAAGCATTCATACATCCAGCAAGCTTGGCTTATTCTTTTATAATTTAATTGAAATTGCTTTCCTGAAGCTGATTTGTTTCAGATTATTTCGCAATATTTATTGCTTTCATTTTGAAATTATAGATGAAATTCATTCAAAGTATGGACAATTTTACGACTTATCAGAGGGACGTTGCATTTATTATTCATTTTTTAGGTGAGAAAGACTGAACGCAGCAACGATGATAAAACAGATGAAGAGGCTATAAGAGCAAATTGGGCTAATAGTGGAGCTATGCCAAAAACATATCGTACTCCTCCCGTAACTTCTCGTTTGCGTTAGTCTTTCAAATGATTTCTATTTTTAAACTGAAACTTCGTTGGATTGTTTTACCACATCGTTTTATGCCTTGTACTGTTTTCAATCGCATTATATTCCAGTAGAATTTATTACTTTAGCTCATTTGTTGAAGGGTCTCAAAATGATGATATTGAAAGAAATGAAAGTCCAGTGATGCGAAAGAAGATGAATATACTTCATGGTTTACATAAAGTGGGCGAATCACTGAAGATGAGAAAAGGTTGTTTCCTTGTTTGGTTATTAATGGAAAAAAGAATCTCAATTTTGAGCGATATTATTACGTTATTAGAAATATTTCTGTTGCTTTTTGAGAATCGTGCAGTCTTGTATACTACAAAGAACTCATTAAAACTTTGTGGCTGGGGTATCTGTATGTCGTTTTTTTAATATAGTTTTTTTTTTTTTTAAATATACTTTAATATAGCAGCATACTATAAATTTTAGGAGCTGTGGTTAGTTCACTTCGTCAGTCATTATCTCAAGCTACAACAATGAATGAAATCACATCTTTGAAAGGCGCAAATGGAAGAGATTCTTCCGCGGCATCTTTTGGTAAGCTATTTTCAATGTTAGTAGTGCAGATTTTTTCAACGGAAAAAAAATTAAATAAGCCACATGGAATTTATGTGTTTTTAATCGGATTTTATACATGAGTAGATTTTAGGCACGGGAGTTGGCCGATTTGCTGAAAGTCATTCTCTTGATGAACTGAACACTGCCGCAGATCTGAGCAAGCGAACAGCAAATGAAATTCTAGATAAATATAAAGGAAAAGCAGTGCTTTTGTATTCAGCTGAGGGTAATAACCAATTTTTGGACGAAAATAGTCAACAAACGACAAAGGTACTTTTTAATTTAAGATTTTATGCTTTTTTCGCTTCAGGAATAATGTGGTGAATAAGAAAACTGAACAATGACTCAAGTTTGCATTAACTTTCAAAACTTCAGGGGGAAAATGAAAAGACATCTGAAGATTCTGAGTTGTACTACGATCCTGATAATCTTACCCAGTGTCGTGCTTTTGTTGATGTAAAACGAAAATTACGTTTGGTATTGAGTTCAGTAGCTTCTTTACCTGGTGTATCTTCTGTTGGGAGTGAAAGTGCTCTACGCAGATCCAAAATGAGGATGAGGTGATGATTTAAAGTTTTATTTGACAATTTACAGTGTTTATAATGATTGCCTAATGCTATTTGCTTATTGTAGTGGAAAAACTGATGCACGGCAGTTGACAGAATTTCTGCAAATTTTGTTGGCAGAAAGCATTAATGGCCAAGACAAGACTCTCTGTGCACAAATTCGTGAAGTTATGCGCTGCTTAGTTGCATTCGATGACAGAGCGTAAGTTAGACACGTTTTATTTGAAAATTTTGTTCAATTTTGATTTGACTTATTTGAATGAATGACTTTTGTGCTCATATTTCCACTTATTTTGAAAAAAACTTCCAATATCCTGGAAGTACAAATTCGAAAGAATATAAAATGAATAGCAGCACTTCAAATTATATCACCTCTTCCTCATTCCGGCATTACTACCAGTCTTTTTCTCATTTGGAATGGAAGAAAAGGTGTTCATTTTTCTGTGAAAAGCTTTTTTTTTTCTTTTTTAGAGTTAGAAAACTCTTAAGAGCCCTGAAGGGAGAGCACCGAAAGCGGACGGCATATATGCTTTATTTACAGCAGTCTCGTCTCAGCCTACTTCAGCTGCGCTCTAATCTAGAAAAATTAGCTATTCGTCTTCAAAGGTATATTATTTGTATTAGAACTTTAATCTTGTTTGTTGTAAGCTTAAGTTGTTGCTGGAGAATTGGTTCTGGTTTGAGTGTGCTAACCCTGTCAACAATACGAACGTATAAAATAAAAGTGTGCTGTGGATGCTTTTGAAATAAATAACCTAGAGAAGTATCGTAGTTAGCAGTAATCACCACAGCGACGCTGGTGGTATTTAAGGCATTGGAAAGGACAATGATGCCATTCTGTTGGATTGCAGAGAGAAATTGCTGATTGGTGAGTGCTTAGTGGATATGCTCGTTCGATTTTATCTGGAAGAGCGTGACTTGCACTTACGAAGGTTTATTGCTGAATTTCAAACTCTGAAAGCTCAGGTATGTATGATTAACTCATTGTTATTTCTGTTGAACATCTTTGTTGGTATTTAATGCTCATTGGAAAAAATTCCAAATTGCTATAGGATGAAAGGACGGATATAATGGAGCGTGCCTTAACTTCATTATATGAATGCTTACCACGTGAGAAGATGTGGCGTTTTGCAAATGCAGAAAGAATCTCATTTGTAAAAAAGAGTGTTGAACGTTCATTAATGGCCCAGCTCTATGTGTATGCACTTTATCCAAATGGTGAAGCCGACCAAAGCAGAGACAGGTTTCTTTCTGTTAAAACAGTTACTTCATATTTCAGATATTATTAAAAAGAACTCAACGCTAGATTTTTCAATGTTTTAAGCTTAATCTACTTCTTTCCTCATCTAACAGCAATTCACTTTGATGTTGGATTGACTTTGACTGGTATTTCAGTGTTTTCCACAAATCAGTGCAAAAATTAGCAGCAGAAATTAATCCTGACCATCCTCAGTTGCGGATATCAGTGGTAAAATTTGTTTATATTTCCTCTCTTTTTTTTTCGGATCTTGTCTTGGATGCATGAGTACTGGTAAATTGTTATTTAAAAAAAAAAAAAAAAAAAAAAAACTGCTTCCATTTGTAGCGTATGAATTTGTAATTTAATTTTCTACAGTCTTGAGCTTTTAAATGTTTTTAATTGATACTAAAAAACATAATATTCTCTGTATATGTTTATTTTTCAGAGATTACGTGGTGAATATCCGTGGCCATCTGCGCAAGCAGAAATTGGAATTATAAATGCATACAAATCACCACGAGATAAAATGGCCTGTATTGTTAGATGCTGTGAAACAATCGAAAATCTCATTATTCTTGCATCTGAGAGAGGAGCAGCTTCGGCTGATGATATTACTCCTGTTCTTGTTTACGTTCTTATTCAGGCAGGATTTTTTCAGCTTTATTGTTGCAGCTTGCAAAATAAAATAAAGTAAAATAACATCAACAAAGATGATATAATTAAAGAATAGAAGTAAGGATAATAGCCTTCTATCATCCAATTCTTATGAGGAAGACTGAGTTGGAGAGTGTCTGTTCGTTAATTGATTAAGAAACTGGAGACATGTTTGCTTAACGTAATATTTTTGACCTTCGAACTTTCAAGAAAATGTGTGAATAATAGCTTTTGCATAATAACTTGAATGAGAATTCTATGAAGAAGACGAAAATTACTGTCATAACTTTCGAGTTCAATTGAGATATTTATTACATAAGTTTATTTGCAGGCAAATCCACTGGCTCTTCTATCGAATATCCAGTATATTGGCGCATTTTATGCAAACCAAATATCAGGCATAGAAGCGTATTGGTGGACTCAGTTCACTAGTGCAGTAGAATTCATTAAAACCTTGTTAAGTCAAAATCTATAATTTAGTAATAATGAATGGAGTAGTTTTTACAATATTAAATTCCCGCAACTTTTGCATTTGGATGCTTCATTTATTTTTGGCTCATTTTAGACCTATTTTATTATGTTATGGTCCTTGTACACTTCATATGATTCTTATTCATAGTTTAATTATTTTTTTTCTATCTTCTTGTCATGGTATAGTCAATGGCCTTGTCATTAAGCGATGATTGTTCGGCACAGTCTCGCTTTAATTTATTCTTTGTAGTCATCCTGATTTGAATTTGTTTAGTAACTTTCATTCTGGTCTACTTTGTCCTATTGATATAACAATATAGTTTTATGGAATCATTGATAATTTTCGATTTTAGTCCTTGTATACTTCATATATGATTCGTATTTGCATATTCTATTTCTGTCATATTTTTTATTTAGTATTATTTCTGTCATATTTTTTATTTAGTATTATTTCTGTCATATTTTTTATTTAGTATTATTTCTGTCATATTTTTAATTTAGTATTATTCAAGCTTCGAAATTTGTAATTTAGTGAAATCAAGCAGTATGATCGTTTTTTACACTATTCAGTCATTTGTAGTCCACTCTTGAATTAATGTATTGGGCTGTGAGCGCAATTTGCAATAATTGCATAATTTACATTTCCTATTAAATAAAAACTGTATGTTCAGTTTTCGTTCATAGAAATTTTCCTTCAGAAGTGGAAATTTGACATTTTTTCATCTGACGATAGTTGCTACAAGATGAAATGTAGCACATGAGATGAAATTATATCATACCTCTTAGATTGATCTAAGAACTTTCTAGTTAATGATAATCGTGAATGAATCAGTTTGATCCATATATGCTTGTATTTAACCAATAAATTATTACCTGTGACAGCATTCATGCGAATAATCATTTATTAGTTCTGATTGCTCATCTCTGAAAATTTTTTATTGTTTAATTTCCAAAAAAAAAAAAATAGCGCATTTCAATTAATGTGCGTTTTCGTTTACTTTTACTTTACGACTTAATATTTCTCTTCATTTTCCTCATGTGGTTTATTTAAGATGATCAGGAGGGATCATCGCAAGTGAATTTAATATGGCCTGTGGAAAACTGATGAGTAAGAAAAGACGTTTAATCGATGAGAGTTTTATAAATTTTGCCAATGAATTTGGGGTGAGTAGTTTTGATTAAATTGTCATCACATTGTATTCTAAAAAAAATCAATTCCAGTATATTTGTGTATCGATTCGATTAATTTTTTTCAGCAACGATCTAGTATGCTTTCAGAAGCAGATCGAGATGAGCGAATATGGGATTTGTCAAGGGAAAAGGTTTATTTACGTTATTCTTATGTGATAAATTTGCTTCATTTTAATGTATTCTGATGAGTGTCATTCAGGATTCTATCTACTTTTTTTTCTTTCTTTGTATTAGTGAATAAATTAGGTACTATCTTATTTTGTAGAAGCCTTACATCTTAGTAGTTTTTATGGGGAATTTTTTCTTGAATATTCTGATAGTTTTTGAATTTATATATTGAAGTTTTGTTCCTAAGTCATATTTTCATAATTTAGTACAGTAAAATATCATAAATCTTTTTTTCGGTTCTCGCAGATTCTTCGGTAAGTGTGGTTTCAGATAAGAAAACGACTGTCATTTATAATCTCAAAAAATGAACTCAAATGGCAGAAGTGTAATGACGATCTTTGTGATTTATTACTTGATGCATCGAAGGTATATCGTTTATTAGTAACAGCTTGCTATTTTTACTGATACAGTTTCATAGTATGAAAGTACTCATGCCATTAGTTTATCCTGTACTAATGTATTATTATTCTAGACGCTTTTGAAAAATATATTGGAAGAAGGTTTAAAAATGAAAAGAAGCCATCTGATGAATAGCACTGGAATATGCCATATGTTTGGTGCTCGTAAAAGACGGTAATTTCATTCTTTTTTATATGGGATATAATGTTTCAGCTCTAAAGTTTTGATAAAAAAAAAGGATTAAAGGTTTATTTCAGAACCGAAAGTGATAGCCTTACTGATTCTTATGTTGCATTATCCATGAGGACACCACTGTGTATTGCAGATATTGCAGATGCTTTGCGGGTAATTTTCTCTAAAATTAACTAATGAATTAATTTGTAATAACCGAAGCTTTTTGTATGCTTTCTTAGTTTTTTACGCACTGATAATAATCATTGTTTCAGGTAAATTGTAGATTTATAAATAGTTCGATTCGACAACAACTGGTGGAAAGGTTAGTTCAGTTGGCTTTCCAAAGGAAGATTCTGTTTTAAAGTTCAATTATTTATTAAATTTAGTTGGGAAAAATTTATTAAAAACAAGTCTAATTTGGTTCGTATGAGAGGTGAACAAAATGGGACTGCTTTACAAATAAGTAATTGTAGCTTTAGTGTTTTAATGGATGGTACTAAAATAAAAACAAAGTTGATTTTTAATTGGTTTTTTTTTTTCTTTTCTTTACTAAGAATATGAGATAATCAATCGCAGGAACTAATTCAGTTCGTAACTTTTCTTCAAATAATTGCTGAAAATGCTAATCGCTTCTAAAGGCTAAAATTTGATTACTATCGATAATAAATTATATCTGTATTGTTGCGCTACTGGTACCCTCACTAATAGCGTACTATTAAAACATTTTCAAAAATTCTAGTTCAGTGTTGAATTTGAATCATACTAAAATTAGTGTTAGTGAACTAATTTAATCAGTTTGATTGAATCTCAGGAAAAAGAAACCTATAAATAGCCTATTGTCTTTATATGTTTGGTGTCATCCTTTATACGAAAAAACTCTCTTTGTTTTTTTTTAATATATATATTTCAGTACAGAACGAACCAGAAAACTGTATTAAGTGATCACTTGGTCTATAAATGTTACCAGTAATGGAGCAATCAATTAGACAAACACTTGCGAAAATAATTTTTCTTTTCATTTCATGTTATACCTTTTTACTAATTGAAATGATGAGTAATAAATTTTTTTTTTTTTTTTTTTGTTTTTTCTAGTCCATTTAAAACTGTTCATGCTATGATTCATAGCTTTATTGCTATATATTATTTTTTATAAACTGTTAAACAGTTCTCTAGTTTAAAAAAAAAGTGTTGTAATTTATTAAATCCAATGAACTTTTCTTTCGTCGGCAATAAATAATTGAATTCATTGCTTGTTTACTTCTAAATTATTTTCGGCATTTAATTTTTTTATCAAAGCATTTCATAAAATTCAAATTACTTTCTGTTCATGCAATTATATTTTTTCTAAAGTTATATATATTAAGCATTTTAAACTTTTTTAGGCATATATTTGAGAGCATCACTGGGAAAATGGCTATATTTATTCATAACTAATTATACATAATCAAACAAGTAATAAGTCATGAAGAGGTACTTGATAACAGTCAATGTTATATGATCATAACTGGCATTGTGAAAATAAATTATAAATTCTTATAATGGCTTTTTTTTTTTAAAACATGTAGCACAGAGATATTCCGGGATATTATCATTTACAAAAAACAAAAGACTGGATGACGGTATTTCCTAGTGATAGTAAATTCATTTACCGGCTATCAGTGATCTGAAACATATTTTAGTAATAACTTTTGATCTATTATAAAAAATAATTTTTGCATCTATGTGAAACTAATAATACTTACACTGCCGTATTTTTATTAAATCGAGCTAAATCAATGGGAGTACTGTTGTATGAGATACGACCCGTGACACCTAGTAAACTTTCCGCCATTGATGGTTCCTCCATTAATGTTGCTGCTGGAAAATTTTTTGAATTACAGTTGAAAATCAACTTATATTTATTTTTGATTGAAAATCAAGTTATATTTATTTTTAATAATGAAAAAATGATATGAAATGTTAGCTTAGAAGTTAAAATATAAAGTAATCAAATGGAATGAACTAAGTTTGATCATTCTTTTTGATTTCCTTTTAATCTTTGTTTGTTTTAGTTTTTATAGGAAACTAAAAAAGCGGTATTTTCCTTTTACATATATTTACTTTCTATAGCATAAATTAACTGAACAGAATATCAATCTTTAACAATTTAATAGGAATTTTGCTAAAAAAATGTGGAACTTACTTCTTATAAATGATAGTTCTGTATTACTTGCAGTTATTTGTGATGGCTTTACAAAACTTTGATGAAATTTGTTAGTTTCCTCCATTAAGTGTTCTTTTTTTCTGGAATAAATGAATGAATGAGAATTAAAATAAAAAGATCAAAGGAAGATTTGCCGATCTAATTATCTCTTTGTGAACAAATTAAATGAGAACCCTTGGCAGAGTTCTCGATAAACAGTAAAAGTGATCTGTTCTCCTTCATCCCATTGTGCTTTTTCAACAGCTGATTCTTCATTTGGATATGTGAAAACTGTTGGTGACGAAGAATGAAATCCTAGCTTTGCTTCCTATAAATTTAACTTATATTTTTTATTCATTTTAAATTCTCGCAAATTATTACTAAATTTTATCATCAAAATTTTTAATTATGCTTCATTATGAATTGAAATTAAAATTATTAAAACTATATTTAAAATTTATTATATTCATCATTTTACATTTATAATGCTAATAATTTATAAAAAACTACAATTATTAACCCTTGGACGTGAACGTGAACGTGTACGTTTCGCTGAATTGCGCAATATTCCTTCGCCAGCAGTGGATACAGATGGCGTGAGATCTTCAAATACGAATTCTAACTGAAAAAAATTAAATTTGATTTTGATGAACTAAATTAAATTTTTGCTGATTAGTTAGATGACATTACATAAAATGAAACCTTTTCAGCCATTGCTTCCATTAATTCTGGAACATCTTCGTCCATAACTAAACTAAGCAATGACTGTCGTACTGGTCCTTCGTCCTAGAATGCTTTTAACATTTGAAAATAGTAGAATTAAACAAAAAAATTAAAATTTCAAAAGAAAGATTAGATTTGTCTTACACAATCTCAACAATTTTGTCATC